CGCGAAGTGTTTGTACAGTTGCGTGCGGTAAATTAAAAGGGATATGGTAATTTTTCGATAGCTAGCATTCCGTAGATATTATATTTGTTTGGAAAAATTACTTTGACGATAATTACTTATCCTGAGAAATGAAATTCATGCCCTGTAATTTTGAGTGAAGTCGGCAGGATGTGGGAGTTGTAGGTAATAACACTGTTCCGAATATACAATAAAGGCAAAAATAATAAAAAATTACTTGAATGAAAGAATAATAACCTGTGTAAATAAACCATAGAAATTACATATCTAAATCGTAATACAATCGAATGACCTTATTTCAATATTTGATATATATTAATTATAGTATATTCAATAATCATTATTTAGAAAATTGTTCGGTAAACTTGATTAAATGCGAGCGGAATGATACCTACAAATACAATTAAAACGTAATATATTAAATAATTATTAAATTATTTATTACTGATTCATGTACATCACGATGATCGTTGAATGCTAGAAGCTATGAAAAACATTTGTTACTGTTTTAAGCAGAATGAACATTGCAGTAGAAAAAAATCACTTTGTTTAGTAAATTGTTTAATCTATCCGAAAATTTGGTTTGAACTACATATAAAACCTTGTTATTACAAATAGGTTTCCATAAACGTTAATTAAATTCTTTTACTCTTCATTTCTTTTTGTTTCTATACAGGGTGTGTCAATGAGGGCTTAACATCTCAAAAAATCAAAGACCAAATTTATGTGTTCCAATCAGTCTCTTTCCGATACTTCAAATTTTATGCTGGCATACCTGGTTGTCAATTAGAAATTTGGCACCAAGTCAGTAGTTGCCATTTTTTCATCGATCATGTTTGTTACGTACCCTTATGTCAAAATTGACAATTGTGAATTGAGATGACAATATTGCTGCCAATAATTCAGAATTGCCAACACAAAAATCTGATTCAATCATTAATAATCACCCGGTACCCCTGATGTAATATTTTACACAAAGAGATGTGCTTTGTTTAGGTGTCAAGAGTGTGTTTACCAAAAAATCTAATATATTATAATTTTCAAACAACTATATCTTAGTTTTTCAAATAGAATAGCCTGTATGATATTATTGCATCTGACTTTTTATTCTCATTCTTTTGATATTTTGGTGTGTTTTTTAAAAACAAGAGAAAAATTTCAGAAATTATCAACTTTAAGTACAGAAAAACACTACTGTACCTTTCCACTGTGAAAAAATTTAAGAAAATTCAGATGATTTGAAATATCGCGTTGTATTTCTAAAAGTTAAATATCTTTGTAAAGTCTAAAAAATGCCCTAAGTTATTTAGACAAAAATTCTCGGTCCTCTGAAGGACATTGGAATAAATATGGCTTCTTCGAAACATAAACAAATAAAATTGCGATTTTTATAAGTTACAATAAAGATACCAGTGGACTGTTAAAGTACAGGTAAAGAAGCTACGCTCACAAGTTCGGTACATTCTTAACTTCGATTGTTTATGTTCATATCTCGAAAGAATTCGACGATTAAGCAGCAGCAAGTTGCCTCATCAAACCAAAGGAGGCGACTAAAATGATTAATTAAGGTACAGTGGGGCGAAACGTTTGAATATCATTTTGATAATTTTCATTTTATTATTATTAAATATAGCTGCACGCAACATTACTGCATTGTCAAATTTTCGAGAAAATGAGGTGAATCGTTTTGATCTGATTAATAAATAAATTTGTGACCCATGAGTCGATCGAACCAGCAACATTGGCGTTAATAAGTCAACATTTTCACGACATGGCCACCGAGTTCACGTCTGAGTCTCACATGTACTGGTATTTTTTTGGAAAAATTTGACTGCTTAGGGTACAAAACCAAGGCTGCTTCATAAACCACAAACATAGAAGTATGTTATTTTATAAAATTAAAATGGCATATATAAAAGAAATTAGGGGTTGTCATCAAATTGTTGGTTGGGATGATCTAACAAATTTAACTTTGTACCGTCTGCACGATATTTCTAACATACTTATATAATTTGAGGACAATTAGTCCGGTAGTTTTAAAGTACTATACTTCTTTAGGTTACGTTCGGGAAGTAAAAAGATCAAATCAAACATAGGTATTATAGGGAATTCCATTTAAGAAATTAAGCTTTATGTTGAGCTTCAGAAATAAAATACTTTGTTAAGCTGAAACTAATTTTAATTTAATCTGTTTAATCTCTTTTTTGCATCTTTAGTAATTAATGAGATCTAAAAGATCGCGCGCTCATTGACTCATCCTGTATAAAATATACAGCAGCATTTCACGGTTTTATATCCTGAGAACGTATAGAAATGTTGAAATTTTGGAAATGTCATATATGACAACTAGATATATGTCTGATATGATTGGAAAAAAAAGTTCCTCTCGTAGGCTGTGCAATTTATTTTTAAAATAATGATGTTGTTAAACTGAACAAGGAACGCGTTGGTGTTGCCAAACATCATTATATTAAAAACAAATTGCATGGTCTACTAGAGCAGATTTTTTCTCGATTATATGGTAGGTCTTCATTTATATAATATTTTTGACAGTTAAAACACAATAATAAAATACATATAAGTGTTTTATATCATTGAAATTGTAATTTCATCATCTACCAATATCCGTAAAAAATTGACGTTATAATAAAAAAAAAAACAAATTTATTGAAACAAAAACAAAAAATAACCCAGTCTAGTACTTATTTAGGGTTATTTACTACGTACATATTTTTAAATATACAGGATGTTTTGTTTAAAAACTACATCTCATATTTGAATTATTTTAATAGATAATACACTAAGGGCCGGTTTATGGAAAGCGAATTAAATATTTAATCCTCGATTAATTTAACAAAAGATTAAAATGTAGAGCTCGTGATTTGTTAAAACATGCACATTGCATAGCAACGGACCTCAATTAAAAGTTAATCGCTTTCCATAATTGTAAGGATGTTTTTACAGATTTATATCTCATATTACAGAAGAAACGTCAAATAAGATACAAAGGAGATCAACCGCTTGCAACATATTTGCATTTTATGTAAAAAGTTGGCACTCTACCATATTTAAATAGGGAGATCTGCGACTTTGCATAACAGTTTTTAATTACCTTGCTTTGACAAAATTTGACTTTAACATGGTGATTAAATTAATAATTTTTCAGTTTTTTGATATTTTTCAAATGGGACACTTTGTATATTGTAACACATTCAGGTTTATTTTTTATAAGCTTTGTTTGACACCGATTTTGCTGAAGTTTATCCTAATAGTTTTTAGTAACAAATCTGATATTAAACGAAAGTTTCCTTAGCGACACGCTATAAAATATTATTACAAAACACAGGCAGTTCCATTTCAAAAAAGGGGAAAATTTGGCAATTGCAGATTTAAACATCCTATAGTGGAGTTGTGAATTTTTTTCGAAATGCAATTATCTTAAAACTATTGATAAAGAAATGACTGTGTCAGATGAAAACATGTTTCATTTTTAATAAGAAATCTAAATCTGTAAAAATAGATGCTGTGTATATGAAAAAAAAAAAAAAATACTTGTTTGGTATGCAATACTTAAATGAAATAACTCGCATGTTTGAAAAAAGTTTTAAATTGTAGCCTGAACTAACTTCTATCAAAGTCCATCATCGAATATTTTCAGCAGTTTAAGGTGAACGTGTAGGAGATCCTTGGGACATCCTGTATATACAAAATGTCCCTGGATTGAATTTACACGAGGAAAAAGTAATCTTCATTTAAAAAAAAAATGTCACAGGGATAAAAATTAATTTTATTTAGTTCATAGAGTACAAAAGTAAAGATTTCTGTCTCTTTTGCCTATCTGTAGACACTTTATTAGCTCTATTTACATAAAAACATTCTTCAAAACTAGGAATTGATTACCCTATGATAATGCGGTGTAGTTTAAGTGAGATTTACTATTGAAGTCATGGATTTGTTAGTAGTAATTGCTAAAAGGCAACAGACAGACGATAGATAATCAGTGTATCTTCGTCGTCTACGGGTTGTTAAACTTCAAGAAAACCAGAAATTAATGAAACTGAACATGTTGTAATACTGCCTAAACTGTGATAGTTTGGGATTTCAAAAGTTAATCACATTTCGAAGGAATCTTTAGAGTCGAGAAGCAACAATAGGAAACTATATCCAAGATGTTTCAGGACACGATTTAAATTTTGAAAATATTGCATCTGCATCGTAAGTTTTTTCCAAAATTTAATAGATCGGTCCACATCTTGTCGATTTCTTTTCGAACCAACAACAAAATGTGGTTTTTCTGGACATAAGTAAAAGTTTGTTTTCGTTGCGAGATATTTATTATATGGTGTGGCGTCTGTTTCTGTGCGACCATCAGTCCGTAAATGCTTTTCTGCCGTTAGGAGCAGCAGAGACAGTCGGTGGGAAGTCGCCAATTAGCACAATTCCAGCCACATCACGGCTAAAAGCTGTTTTAAACGTCGACTTTCCCTCCACAACGTCGCAATGTCATGTCAAGCCGAAAATGTAAAGTCGTATCTAAAATAATACGGCGGATTACTGGAACACGCTACTTTGTTATTTCACTGCGGCAAATATGCTAACAATATCGCAACATAGCATTCGACAATTCCTATCCGGAACACGTAAGCGAAACAAAGACCAAGACTTCCGCCAACCTCCTTATTAGCGCCGCGTGTACTTTGGGGGATGTTACAAGGTGTCTTACATATTACCACAAGCCGGTGACACGCCGGACCAGCTGCGCTTTATTGCACTGCGCTGCAGCGGAGAACATCACGGGAAAAGTTGATGATTAAAATTCTTTCGGTATAGCGAAAAATTACGAATTATTAAAAGGGGAAGGGCGGCTAAAATTAATTATTTTTTAATTCTCTCGATGCTGAGCGGGCGGTAAACTTCTTGTCCAATCTCGCAGGAAAAGTTTTGCAATTAAACGGAGAAATATTTGCTAATTTTTTCCTTACCGTTCGCATATCCGGCGAGGAGATCGCGCATTTGATTCGTCGGCCCGCATACTTCTAGGGCTGAAACACGCACTGAAAATCTAGCACCAGTTTTCTGTTTCTGTTCGTTGATGCCCTTGAACAACCACGAAATGGCACAAGGGATTATTCCTAGGGTGTTCGCGTTTTCGGGGGTCCCTAGCATGGTGTACGACTTTCCTGAAAAGATAAAAGAACATCATCAAAAAATATAAACGAACAAAACAAGAAGCTAGCACATTTTGTACTTAATATTTAACAATTAACGGTCATATTGTTCTGAAGAATGTCTGTCTAATAAAGTCCTCAGCAGACAGTGACTGACAAACAAAGCGATTAACAGAAAACTTGCATGTTGTCATTTTACTTTTGTTTTATGACAATATTTTTTTCTAGATTTGAAAATCAGAAATTTCACCTCCTGTTTAAAGCTACGTTAAAACTTAAAGTGAGCTTATGTCACAGAAACACATTGTTGAAGTGCATGAAATGCATATTTGTTACCTTGTCCCTGTAGTTTTAATATACATAGTTTAATGGAAATACTGATATAGTGGATAGTATGAGTAAAGTTTACTCGTTTTAGCATTCATGTATTCCTATCTTTTTCTAGTAGGGATAAAAGCATTTGTTCGAGAGTTTGTTCATTTACTCAGTATTAATTTGTTTGTCGTTGGCACTTTTAGGGTAGAAACTGATCCGAATATAAATGGCTTGACTCACTTTATGTAAGAATTTTGTAACTGCTAAAATATATAATTATAGTAGTGTAAAATTAAAGTCGTTTGTATTTTTGAAACGAAATAAGAGTCTGAACTGTTCAAAGATCATTTGTTTTAAAGTTTAGAAAGTAATTTAGTTTGTTTTAACTTCCCAAGCGACAATTCCAGAGAATTGTTATAAAAGAGACATCGTGGCGAATGTTAAATTTCATGTTTTGTCGATGTTTCGTAACTTCCGTTTTTGTTGTCTGTTTGTTGGTGATTTTATTAGGCTCTCCGAACTGGTTATTCTGAAATTCTAAATATCACTTAAGATTATTTCCAAGTTAACAACATACTAACGAAAATTTAATGTACTCATTCTCTCCAGAAAATCGATGATGTCATTTTAAAAGTTTGTTGGGTGCGACGAAATTTTGGTTAGTCACTAGCACCAATTTAGAGATCAAAAATTATTAAACGTTTCACTCTTTTTAGCTAGATAGGTTACTTGAATTATACTTCAAGTACATGAGGAAAGTAATTGAGATTTGAAGTACTTTTATTTAGTAAAAGTAAGTACTTGGTACTTTACTTGAACACTATTTCAAGAAGTACTTTGTACTTGGTACTTTAAGTACTTTTGTACTTTGAACAGCTCTGCAGGCGATACAATTCCTTCTAACCAAGCATTCAGAAGACTCGAAAAAAAAATTAAGAGAAGTTGATCAATTTAAGAAAACTAAAGTTAGACGTCCTATAGTAATAACGTCAAAAAATGAAGCTGCCCTGATTGAAATTATAGAAGATAATCCTGACGTGCTTCAACAGATCACAAGATTAGTCAGAGTTCGGTTTTTAACATCTTGAGAACAAACCGATTTCACCCATGCCAATTTAGCCCTTCTAATTCAAAATGAAGATCATTTGCGCGGAAAGGAACATGGTGTCAGGTATTCATCTAACACCCGAAATTCTAATTAGACTACGTGAAAAAGGATAAGGCGGATAGTTTGAGTACTTATTAGAGGATACCTATTTATTTATTTTATTTATATTCGTTTAAAGATCGAATAAATTACGTTCTATTTTCTTTAAATTTTGCCATTATTAGGTGCTTGACGATTTTCTTGTCATTATGACATAGTGTTATTTTTGTGGTGTTGTATTTACTATGGTTGCTAATTTAAAAAGATTAATAGCTTGATCAAAGTTGCGTAAGATATGTATAATGTGTCGCCTACATGAACGTATTCACGCGTTAACAGATAAAATAATCACCCTGTATAGCCTCCACTATTTCTCTTGATACACCACTTGTTGATCGATAATTTGGCAACGTTCGTGTTCAGACAATTTTCTAATTAAAAGACGTTCTCAATCAATCGAAAGCTGTTACACAGAGCTCGTGCTGAGCATTAAAGCTGGAATGCAACCACTTTCAGATTAGAAAAACTTTTCGGTATGAATTTGAAGCTGAATTTCTACAAGTGTCAAATGTCATAAAATCATGAGCAAATCAGAAAAAATTGTCTGTTACACTAGTTTAATAAGACAAATTGTAGTACTCGTGCTCCAATAGAACGTCTTTTATCTTAATATAATAATAATATTCTATTGTTAACATTAGCTATTAATTGGATTAGCCTTGTGTTCGTGTTTGCTTTTTAACTGTGGTTTCGCGTCTTTGGGACCTGGTAAACGGAACTGGTAAAGTAACTTCCGCATGGGGGACGTGAGAGATGCAGTATGATTCTATCTGATCTAACTATCGATAACTCTACGTAAATGATGCGAAAACATAGCTTCTCTTATTCTACGTCAACCCCCCAGCTTTTAGTTGGTGCAGGTTGGTACTGCCCACTATAGTCTTCAGTTTCTAATCCAAGGTTTGCAAAATTTGACACCTTGTACTTCCGCTGCAACTGGTAATTGTTCTCCCACTACTGGTGTCGAGCCGATGGCATCCTTAAAGGTCTGGTCCTTCGAATTTGGCAAACTTGCTTTCATGATTGTTCTGAGTTAGCCTTACCCGTATGGGAGGCGATCTGATCGTTAGTCATCCTTTGGTTTACCTAATTTTCTTGTAATGTTGGTAATAAAATAATCGATGTGTGAAAATATTGTTATTACGGAAGTGTATTGTTCAAGTTTAGAGAAATTTTAATAAATGTGGGCAGAACAGGCGGAAGTTTTTGATTCCGATAGTGATGATGATATCAGGGATCATGTGGGGCGAATGCGATGTCCAAAGAGATACTGACAAGCATTAACGTTAATTTTCAAAACTACAACTTTATTACACCATCTTTCTTGGTGAGGAGGTTCATGCTTGAAAGTGAATTACCCACACAATGTTCACCTCCTCCTGGATCTTCTTTGCAATAACTTTACCAACGTAATTTTTCACTGATGCAGAAGTTTTTCTTTGATCTTCTTTGTGATAACATTACCCTCGCAATTTTCTTCTAATGAACAAGGTTTCACTTTCTATCCTCTTTGCAGTGGCAATAGACAACTTGGATTCTGTGGAAGTGGCAAGGGTTTAATAATAAATAATGCGGGCTAGCGGTTCTAATACGACTTTTTCGAACTGTTTTTCGATTTTTTATCAAAGTTATTAGAATGATTAGTATTTAATATTCATTCAATTTTGGTGAAAAAATCAATGTATGTACAGTCATGCTTACATAAATCCCGCACAACCTCGCTCTTACGTAGTGTCAAAATCGATACAAAATCAATACCATGGATACAAGTTCAGATTTTCATTTGTACAGGATTTATGTGAGCATGACTGTACATCAAGCATTGTGGGTCAACTTTTTGGAGGTTATGTTGTTTATTTTGATAAAACTCAAGAAACGAGAGAAGAATGTAGATATACACATTCTAAAAGAAAAAGTAGGGTACCCACTTTCAAATCAGTTATCAAAATCATGTCGGAGAGAGTTATGACTTAATTACTATTCCTTGGATAAATTCTTATCCTATGCCAAGAGCGCGAAAAACCGTTGTTTATCCCAAACTTTGTCCGTTCTGCAGATATCCTATGATTGTAAAATCGCTATCCTACTACCTATTCAAGTAATAGAGTTATCCCTGGTTGGTAAATCCCTGGTTGGTAAAAGCGCGCCTAAGTAAAGTAACAATAAGGCATAAAATTTCTATCATTTTTTGTAAAAGATCCATCACTACTTGCTAAGATAAAACTGATTTTGGCAAATGACGTACCCTCTAAGAAAAGAGAGGGTGGGTGGGCGGTGCTAGCACCTGCTAAGATAAGAGTAATTTTGGCAGATGAGATATCCTCTAAGAAAAGAAGGGTGGGTGGGCGGGGCTAGTACCTGCTAAGATAAGAGTAATTTTGGCAGATGAGATAGCATCTAAGAAAAGAGAGGGTAGGTGGGCGGGGCTAGTACCTGTTAAGATAAGAATAATTTTGGCAGATGAGATACCCTTTAAGAAAAAAGTGGGCGGGGCTAGTATCTGTTAAGATAAGAGTAATTTTGGCAGATGAGATACTCTCTAAGAAAAGAGAGGGTGTTTGGATGGGGCTAGCACCTGTTAAGATAAGAATAATTTTGGCAAATGACATACCTTCTAAGAAAAGAGAGGCTGGGTGGGCGGGCTAGTACCTGTTAAGATAAGAATAATTTTGGCAAATGACATACCCTCTAAGAAAAGAGAGTGTGGGCGGGCGGGGATAGTACCTACTAAGATAAAACTGATTTTGGCAAATGATATATTCTCTAAAAAAAGAGAGGGTGGGTGGGCGGGGCTAGTACCTGCGATTAAATTGTTGTAAGAAAAGACACTAGAAGCTTCAAAGTACTTTCAAATTCTTTCCAAACAGGAATACCTAGAATCTCGAGATCGTTTTAAATTTTTCAAAAAAAAACGGGATTCCAAAATTAACTCAAAAACAGGTCAGGTCAGAATTTCCCAAAAATAGAACACCAAAGTCCCCCAAAATAGTTTTAAATAATTTACAAAAAATCTCCACGGGCTCCCAATAACCAAGACTCCGGGCTTCCCTTTTGGTTCTCGTGTTTAATTAATACATTTATGTCCGTTTGCACCAACGCATTGCAACTATACTTAAAATTTAAGCAATACTTAAAAACAGAAAACCGTTGCACCAACATGAAACCGCTTCTTAGGGTATTCTAAGAGGGGCTTATTTTAAGCCGGCAGGTAGTGACGCCTTAAATTCTAAAGTTCTTCTTAACAATAACAAATGAAAGAGCGCATGCTCGGTCGCTGTTGCCAATCATGTTGCACTTTGCATGTTACGATCATGAGCTGAAGATACCTCAGTTGCTAGTGTTGCCAATAGAAGTCCGCATTCCATTAAACTCACTAACTATGCATTGCTTTATTAAGTCACGGATAAGCAACGATGGTGCAATAGACAAACAATTTAAGTCCCAAGTAAAATTAAACACTTCTTCTTCCGCCCACCCACCCTGTCTTTTC